TTATATAATTTTTCATTTAATTGATGATGGAAATCGTCACAGAACTGAATCTACAGTATCATGTTGAACGTCATAATATCCAATAGTTGACAATAAACCATATTATCTCAACTTTACAGGATAATGGTTCTCAACCTGCTCAATTTGTACTCCTTGATTTATGCACTGGCTGAGAGGATAAGTGGTTTCAATTCAGTTTTCAATTTTTCAAATTTTCCACCAAAAGCGATTAAGAAGTGCCAGATAAAGCAGTCTGGAAACCTGGATAGAATCATTGATAATTTATTTCCAATACTAGTTATCATTTGTAGATTCATATAAGCATCATCAAGATCCATAATTGAACCTGTAATCTGTTGAAATATGTATCTCCGTTAACCAGCTGATATTTTGAATCTTTCAAAAACTTTGGGATAAATGGTAAAATTTTCAAATAGTTGAGTTCACTCAGCAATTAAGATTCCAAAAACCAAAAAAAGAATACTATAATTTCTTCATCATGCCTCAAGACAATTCGCCAGAATTCCATCGAAACCTGCCATCGAAGCAATGCCATGTCTAGAATGGCCGTGAGCGCACGTCAAGTTGAGCACGGTACAATTGATCTATCATGATCAGCGGCGGTTGATGTTATTTCTTTCAGGGGATGATCTACAGCAATACTGTATTGCCTGAGAATACTCATATATCTTGACAAAAATTAAATGTGGAAATGTGGAAGAAATATGTATGAATATTTACCTTCTATGAATTCTGAGTACCGTGGATGTACCTGTACATTACTCTTCTAAACTATAAACGTGATGGCCAGTACAGCTACCTACGGCTTTCTATGCCAAATGAAAATTGTTATTGTTCGATGAATACTGCAAATAGCATACGGAGCCAGTATATTTGAAAACAAAAAGAAACTCAGAGCATTAGGAATAGATGAAACCAATCTGGTTTCCGGTGAAATGTCTGCCTTCTGAATCCTCAACTTACTCTACTAATTGCTGAGTACCTTCAGAATAGTCTTGCCAGTATCTCATGAAGAATGATGAACCAACGGTTTTTAACGAATTCTCATTTAAGGGAGATTTACTCGCGAACCTGTGTGTCCTCTTTCTTTGCGTATCTCTCCCACATCAACATCGCACCTGCGTATGAGGAAAGTGTCACTAGTGATGACAATAATAATAATAGCAAACATAATGGCATCACCTGGCCCCTTAAAGGTGAATACCGATCAGTCATAATTCCTAACATAACATTGTCCAATATAATGAGGAATAAAATTCAACAGGTCATCTCTGAAGTCACTACGAGGCAGCTTTAGCTACCTCAAAAGCAGGGAAAATTCATGGACGAAGCACTCAAATAATAATGAAACTGCATACACGTGTTCCTAGCTCATTAGCTGTCATCAGTACAGTATAGCTGAATGCAAGGTTAGGCAATACTTGGTCGCTGAAACAACACAAATGCACGAAGTCATCAACAGAAGCCAGCCGCACTTTGTGGTTTCGGTCAGGTCATCTTGTGTTAAAGATTTCACTGAAGTCAACACGAGACAGCTTCATCAAATATGTCACGCAGGTGACATCCAAGTACAATATTCTCGTGAATTGTCTAACCCGAGATGACATGGCCGAAAGTGCGGCTGGCTTCTCTTGATGACTCCGTGCATTTGTGTTTTCCTGCAACCAAGTATTGTCTAACCTTGCTCCTGGCTATACCGTAATGAGCTGCGCTTTTTGGCCTGGATGGTTACAGGTCATCTGTGAGGATCAGGTTAGCGTCGACTGGCTTGCTGGTGTAAATGATATCCTGCAACCGTGTAAGGGCGCTACTAGTAAATGCGTCACAGAGGACCAACTTCCAAAGCAACATATCTGTGTTGCTCACCTACCTGACGGAGGCAGTCACAGACTGACGTCTGATTAGGTCCTCAATAGATTGAGGAAAATGAACCATGGTCTGTCAACCTTGGTGTGGACTATGCTCCACAAGGAATATTCAGGCCCTGGTCAAACGTGGACCTTCGCTGTTGACGATGGATCCATGGCCGTGTGGGCGAGGATGGGTTTCAGACCACATTTTAGTTTTGGGCAAGTCTTAATCCGCCGTAAAACCCGGGCACCCTCCCAGCAGGAGACTACTCAACAGAGTCACTCTAATGTACCCGTTGTACACCGATGGAGAGAAGTTCAATTGAACCTCCACCCAAACGTAGTGGTAAACCAGCGGCTCACACCCATCCCAAGAATGGCAAACCAGTTGGTTCTCAGGAGACAACTCGTAAAGAAAACCAGAGAAAAGGGCTGGACTTTGCTCTACGGAAGCGAAAATCGTCTCGTCAAAGGGATCCAAAAAAATCAGCAGGCAACTCAGAGACGGCAAGTGTCCTCACCTCATCATCTGAGCCTACTCATTCCTCGATCTTCTAGGATTGGCTCACTCCAAGGCGTTCATTCACCCTTCGTAGCTTGATACCAAACAGTTGTTGGACTACAGTAGGGATGAACTATGATGTCTAACAGGCATTCTCACAGGACTCTGTCATTTGAATCATCATATGCAGAGACTGGGACTGTCGAAAGACAGTGTGTGTCGCCTCTGTTTGGAAAATGATGAATCAGCAGAACACATACTTTGTGCCTGCCCCGCTGGAGACCGAATCAGGTTCTTAGAGTTTTTGCAGAGCCGTACTCTTACCATCTGATCTGAAAGACCACTCACCATTCAAACTAATCGGATTTGTTAAGAAGCTGGTCGAGTGTGAATGGGTGTGAGCCACCATGAACCTTTGCAGGTTACGGTGAAGGGTCGAATATACCCACTTACTTTGGACCCAACGTAACCTAACCTAACCTAACCTAATCTGACAGCTAATGAGCTTGAAATACTTGTCTGGGGTTTGCTTATTTTTTTGAGTGTTTCGTCCATGAATGCTTTTGATTATATCAATTTATAAAAAAAAATTTCAAGTCAATTCGACGTTGATCTCATTCAAAAATTCGATTTTCTATATGAATAACACAGGAAAAATATGTTTTTGGTTCCAACTCGTGATACCCTTTCAGATGTAAGTAACGCAACAATTTGGGAAAATTTTGGATATCTCCTGGAAGGACTCGGAATGAACATAACGCAAAATGGTACTTTCTTGGAATACTGGAATGGAACGTTTCCGGTAAATTTCACAAAACTTGGAAATGAATCATTTCTGAATGACACTCTCGAATTCTATCCTGAAAGGAATGGCACAGACCTTCAGCAATTGTTTATGGATTATTTAACATACATTCTGTATTCCGTAGATGACTTGTACTCCACTACGATTTCTGATAACTCAACAATTGCAGATTCCGATTATGATGATACAACTGTGGCACCATATTATAATTACACCAGTTCAAATCAATATGATGTATCGATAACAATGGCTTTGTCAACTTTCCAAAGTTTTCTTGAAAACTTCAGTTCAACTGTGCTCCCATCTATGCAAAATACCACAGAACTCACTACTTTTTCGAAACTCCCAAGTTCTACAGACCTCAATTTGTTTACGGAACCTACTGAGTATGTAGACCCTACTGAAGTTTATCGATTCGAAACTTCAACCGATACTTCAGACCTACACACAACTCCAAATATACCAACATGTGTAGGTTGCAGAAAAGTATGGATAGCATATAAGCTGAACTATACCAAAAAATCTGAGTTAAGAAATCTATGCTGGGAGACCATGTTTGGGCAAGAACTTGTCAAGCTCACGGTGACAGATTTGTTTATGTCAATATTACCAACCTTGGGAATGGAATTTTTCAGGGGTATTTTTGTGAGAGTAATGAATAAGTATGGGTGGTAAACAAGCAAGAAAATGTATTTTATTGAATTATATTGCAGATGTTGGTGTTGGGACCTTGAGAAAATATTTCCACAATATGCTGATTTCAAGGTTGCAGAAAATATTTTGTCACTCGTGAATAATCAGGGTATGGTATGGATGGGAATGTTTTTCTCTCCAGGAATTGTAGCTTTGAATGTAGTGAAGTTATATACACTGATGTACTTCAGTTCTCCGCACTCGCAGGGTATCCGGTAAATGCAATTCTTGGAATCGTAGTCCACGTTCGGTGGCCTGGTTTTTGTGAGGCTGCTACGGATAGTGTTCCCATGTTAGAAACAGGTTCTAATGTTATATTTGGACCCAATCCTTCTTATCCATTTTGACAATCCTCTGATGTAGACGATCTAAATGACCTTCATCAAAATGGTTACTCCAAAGTGATGATTAAACAAGCTTCAGCTGAAAGACAACAGTAGCTCCACAAGGAGGAGAAGCCTCCACAACCAGTACTTATACTTCCCCACATCATCGTCTGATTTTTGTAATTTTTTGGTTGTTGTTTGTATTTTATTCCATTGATTTTTTTCTGCTTAATATAATTGTTATTGTGATCATGTGGATTTTAATAACTTTTCTCGCAATTCTTTTCGAACAAACTCAATTTTTCTCGCTTATAATACCATAGCTTCACACATATCATGGTTGTTGGTAAATAAACCGCGCATGAATTTAAATAAAAAGTATTCCAAACATGATTCACGTAGATTTTGTTACCAATGATAGCACTTCAATAAAAATGATAAAAATGAATAGAAATACCTACTTCAAATTTTTCCGTCACAAATGAAATTACTTTTTGAACTACTAATTCAGAAAGTATGTTTTTGAGAATGACTGAGGATGCAAACATAAGGAATGGAATGACTGAGGGTGCAAACATGAAGAATGAAATAACTGAGGAGGCAAACGTGAAGAATGAAAGGTACACCTGAAACTTCCGAAGAAGAAAAAATTCAACACAAACACTTTCCAAACACACTTGACTCGCAACACTATTCATAACTTACTTCCCACCAACCAAGTTGGCTTTGTTTGGAAATGATCTTTAGTCTTCAGATCATCCTCTGATGATACTAACTTGGTTAATAAAACGTCTTGAAAAAAGTTTTGCTGTATAACAGTTGTGTTTATGTTAGGTGAATCAATTAAATTGATGTTTCGATTTGAGACAAACATAAATATATTTTTTGTTTGTCATGTCCTGGAATTTTTTAATGTACAATATGAGAATAACACATGTGAGAAACTAAAAATTTGAAAATATTCAATTGTCTTGAAAAAAACTCTCCTGGGAAAAACTGCTTCTCACATACAATTCTATTGATAATCATTATATTCAGTAAAAGTTCTTTTTTTAATTCTCACAATTTTTTTGAACCTCATTGAATGTTATGAAATTAATTTATTCTTGAAAATCTATAACTTATTAAAATAAAGCTTTATTGTGAGATTTGCTCTGAGTAGTTAAAAAATCGCAACACCTATTTCACTATACAACAGCTTCTTTTAAATACGTCTGAGGAAGCAACACATCTTGCATTCAGTGGAAATCACAAAATAAGGTGATCGATTGATGACCATTTTATTTTGTACAGATTCATATGGAATATAGGATAGAGAAAATTACTTTTGTCTATTTTCCACTGAGGTTTTTATTTGTTAAACCATTCTCAAGTTGACTATATTTGCTTTAATAATTCAGCCAAGCGTTTCTCCTGTTCATTTTTCATTTCTGTTGAGCTCAACTATTTCTCAAATATGTTTGATGAGTGTGTTAACTAATATTTTTCTTTTTTCTGTTGAAGGTCCCATAACTTTTATTACGCCTTATTACTGATGATGCTTTTTTTATGCGTTCTTCCTGTGGGATACACAATTGTTTGGATTCGACCTTCTTGGCACTGTGGTCCATTCAGCAAATATAAGAAAATATTTCATATTTTTACTGAAACAATCAAGGAAAACAGTCCGGAACGATTTAGGAAAGTACTGGATTATATTGCATCACCTGGTATAGTTATTCCGCTACTTGTTTTGCTGACTCTCATTATTTACTACTTGATTTCACTGACTAGTGCTTTGAGAGAGGCTAATGATGACCTTAAGGTATTACTAATATGATATGATTAAGTGTTTCAGTTAAAGAAATCTGATCATTTTCTAATATTAAACTTGATGACACTTCTGAAACATAACTTGAGAAATTCCTTATTCAAATAATCAGTTGAATTTTTCAAATATCTTGTAACACTGAATAGCTTGTATCAAGTCATATATAACAAATTATGTCAGTTTCATTCATTACTGCAGAGAATGACGAGAATGACCTAAATTAACGGAAAATGATACAAATTGATGGCGGAAGTTCATCATGAAAAATTAGAAATTAAAGTTTATATGTTTTTAACCACATTCATTTGTGACTAATGTTACTGCAGTTTCGTCCTATAAGGACATTTACATACAATTACAATAAACTGAAAATAAATCATAATGTTAACCCCTATATATCTACTCTGCGTACTGATAGAGGTCCCCAACTCAATTGAGTATCTGAAATTTGTTGACCTGTGACAATGTGGATATGCTGATTTGAGAACTGGTGAGAGAACTAGATGGATTTAATTCAGCAGATTACATCCATAACACCATCTGACCTGAAAGACCACTCACCATACAAACTTATCGGCTTCGTTGAGAAGCTGGGTCTATTTGGTCGAGTGTGAATAGAAGTGAGCCACAGTAAACCCTTGCGGGTTGCGGTGAAGGATCGAATAGACCCACTCATTATGGACCTAACCTAACCTTACCTACATCCGCAATGCTTATGCTCATGCATTTCCAAGGTGCTTGCATAGTGCAAAATTTTCGTATCGTTTAGATTTGGGAAATTGTGGTTGCATTTCAAGGAATGGTTTGAAAACGTCGAATCATTTTTACTTAGTCTGAAGGACCTTTAATGTTCACACTATTTAGGCATACCTAAATCAGAGTTGCTTACTGTTCAACAACGAATTTTATAAACAGGATTCAGGTTCACCAATAGGATCACCTCTTAGTCCACTTCTAGCAGACTTATTCATGAATAGCATGGAGACCACTATAGTAAATTTCGACCTGGGTAATATATTCATTTTTGTATGTGTAAAGGATATTCTTGCCTGTTTCAGACGTACTACACGACAGCTAAACCAATTTATGACATTTATGAATAATCTCAACAGAAATATACAGTTATGAACTCGAAACAAAGATGAAAAAACATATTAATTTCCTAGACATGACCATTACACATAATCAGAATAAATTCGAGTGCAATGTGATTATTTCCAACACGACAGTCATAAATTAGCAGCCTACAATTCAATGTTGCACAGCCACCTTTATCTGCTAATCCAGATAGGAAAATTTGAATGATTATACAGATAGAATATAATAACGGTTTCGACACATATACATATTTTGGTAAAAAGAAAACAGAGACAATTGGGAATATTTTCAGAAAAAACAATGTGGAAGTAGAATTCAGACCACATCCCAGGTTATCTGATTTCCTTTTTTTAATGCCAAAGATAAAGTGGCCAAGATGGAGAAATCTGGACGTTTGTTTGAAGGTAGTTGACAATGTTTCGTGGTGCATTTCATCAGTTCGGACCTCCATTGTCTAATATGATATACAATAATTTGAAATCCCTGAAAGAACCTGTGTAAAATTAAAAATATGAGCTGAGAAATAACAATTTTATTAGGCAAAAAACTAAAACTACAATAAAATAACATATAATCAACAATAAAAAAAATAAAAAAAGAACTATCAACACGAGCTGAAAAATTTAAAAATTATTAACAAGAAACGAAAATTGAAACTGAAAACGATTGTAGATACTAACAATCGAAACGTCGAGAAGTAACTTGATTTGGAACCTTTTAATTTTATATTTTTCAATTTTCGTTTCTTGTCAATAATTTTTTTATTTTTCAGCTCATGTTGATAGTTAATTTTTTTTTAATTTTTTTGGTTGTTGCTTGTATGTTATTTCATTGTTATTTCAGTGTTTTGCTTAATGAAATTGTTGTTTTTCAGCTAATCGTTTTAATATTTAACAGATTCTTTCAGGAATTTCAAATTAATTTATATTATATTAGACAATGAAATATACAGTTAATATGCTTGAGTTTCCAGAGTGTAATAGTGTTTAAGTGTTTATGTGGGATAGTGAAATTTTTCAAAATCTTTATGCTAAACATGGAAGGTCCTTCTTACTAGGTAAAAATTATTCGACGTTTTCAAACCATTTCTTGGAATGCAACCACAAGTTCCCGAATCTAAGCGATACGGAAATTTTGCAATATGCAAGCGAGGATGCAAAAAGTAAAAACATAGAAAGTTTTTTTTCTCATTTTTGGGAAAAATGATATTTTTTCTGAATTACCACATATGTGTAAATTGTCGGAAATAAAAGACGAAGTCTATATTCATTCTCTTAACTCTCAGCTCAACTTATCTTGTTTTATCCTGACATCAGAATCTATATCAGACATTTACGAAAATATACTTTTTCTTCTCGTTTTGAGTTTGTTGCATGTTATAATTCTCTAAGTTGAAATATGATTCTTCTTCTTGTTTAATCTAGTTTCCAATGTAATACTAATCTCATATATGTTCTCAAACCACATAAATATACAAAATCTTAAATTATTATTGGAAAAACATTTTCAAGTGACGAGTTATATAGGATAATTTTATTGAACAGCTATATAGTATGAAAATACCAATGAACATGGAAACAAATAAAATCGAGACAAAATATTTAGACCATCCATCCTGAATATAACATATCTCATGTATCTATCGTATTATCTGAAATCAATATTTTCTATTTTGCCAAAAATTACTGGTATTTGCATTCATCGTATGTTGAGTAATGAACAAAATATACCGAATACTTTCGTGATCTAGGTATAATATGTAAAGTCATTTTGTATTTTGTATCATGTATTGTACATTGAATAAACATTTCTATTATATATTACACATTAATATAGAGAATTTTGACTGCAGTTCTTTCTTGTTCTTGACGTACCTAATAATCTTCGGGAAAATAATGTTTCATAACTCGTACATTATCAGTAGGAAACAATGGCGACGACATCTTTCCTTACGAAAATGTCATTCATGAGGTCGATAAAAACTCAATCTTCAATATCAAAGATTAACGAGGCTCCTCAAAGCGGTCAGTTACAATAATTGGGGAGCCCAAGCGGGAATTGTACCCGGTTAAGTACCTCCACCAAATATGAGCCTCATATATAAGGCCGCCCGTGAAGGATAACGGATCAGATTAGTGAAAAAAAATTGATCATCAGAAATTCTCGAGCGCGTCAGATTGAGATAGGTTGAGTTAATTACATGCTGAAAAGTGTATATTCCAGTAATCTGAAAATTTGAGAGTGACGTAAAGAAAGGGAAGGGCAGCAAAGTTGTAAAAAAATAACGTCATTTCGACATTTTCGAGCGTAGCTAATTTTTTTTTCATTTTGAAAGAAATAATTCAAGGATAACGATTATCTGACGATTTTCGCAAACCAAAATAACAAAAATTCATCGATAAAGTTTAATGCGTGCAGCTGTGTGATACCTATATTTCCTTCACCGAGTTTCTCTTCCCCTATTCTCTATTCACTTTTTCTCTATATATTACTCTCTCACTTCGTCTCCACTCTGAATTATGTTGCCATGACGTCACCACAGCTGATCACAGAGACTCTTTCGTGATGAAGAAGGATTGAAGAAGAAAAAATTAAATTTTTTTGAGCATTTTTGAAAATTTATTTGCTTATGAATACAAATATTCTACTAGAAAAAAATACACTTATTTATTTGCATACTATTTCCTGAGCTTCTTGATTATTCAAGTTCAATGATTTGAAAAAAAAATGTCAGATTAGGCGAATCCCTCTAGATGATCGTCAGATTATGAGACAACACGTCTAGAAAATGAAGATGAACAATATATATCTTAATCTGATGCGCTTGAGTATTTCAAAATAGCGAATTTTTTGTTGCACTTAACACCCCCTTAGAAAATCTGACGAGCTCGATTGAATTTTTTTCTTTTTACTTTCAACCCTTACATACAACCACCCGCATCATGCAAACGATCAGATTAACATATGAACGTTATTGAAAATACGTAGGACATTGATGCTATCAATATCTGACGCGCTTGAGTATGTCCATGCAACAGTATTTTTTTACATATTTAAAAATCTATAGCCGCTTTCCCCACCGATGAAAAGGTATATATTATATAACATTTTTTCTTCTTATCATCTAAGCTTTGCAACCTGATATGTCTCTATGACGCTCGAGTAAATCCCCATTTTGCATCGTGGGCTCCCCTACTACAAAGTCGAGCTTCGACATATAATTGATATTCAAGGATTGAGCTCCCTCTTGATTCCATAGATGACGACTTCGTAAGTGATGTCGTCGTCGTGTTCTTTAAGGACAGCTGAGTCCAGCAATGCATTCGTGGTTCAGCGTAACACCACCGATTAAACTGGTCGACTGGTCGAAATAGCGTCGTCTGCTATTGGATCGAAAATGTGTTGTGTTTAGTCTATAGTTTTCAACGCATAGATTATCTTTGAAAATTATTATATATACTTCTCTTCATAAGATTCAGTTGATTGTGATAATATGAGCAAATGGTACCTATAAAGTTTCTGAGGTCATACAAAGGATTTTGTTAGTACTTACTGATTCACCAAGTGAATTCTCACCATCTTTCTCTCTCTCTATTCCTTCTCTTCTCCCTTCTTCCTCTCACCATCTCTCTATCTCCCTTTATATTCTCTTCCTGAACTCTGATTGTTTCATGAAAATACAAAAATTCAAACACATCTCGTGGAATTGATTTCAGATCCAATTACGCAGGGAGAGAACTGAAGAGAGAAGAAAAATGTTCCAAATGACGGATAGACGAAGGAGGGTTGGATCTGGTGAATCTAACGATTTATCGAATACTCCTTTCAGTAAATGGAAAAAAGTTCTTGGGGATTTGCCAAGCGGAAAAAGTTTGGATGAAACACCGAAACCAGATCCAGAAGATATTCCAGAACAAGTGAAAGAGGAAAATGGCAATAAGAGCAGAGGTAAATTTTAATTATTGAAAATTCTATATCGTAGTGATAATTTATTATATATCCAATGAAATTATTTTCGAATCCTACTTACTATACTTATGCAAAGTTTCTTAGGAATTACTATTATTCCAAAAATTTGTCGAAATAAAATAGCATAGAAATAGAATAGAAATAACAATAGCAAAAAATACGTAAGTTTATTATTGCAGTATTATCGAAAGTTTCCTGATCAGTTCATTGACTGTACAACTTTTTGTAGGAATTTCATATGAGCTCTGAATTAGAAGATAGAAAATCAGTTTGAAGTTTGTAGTCAGTACTAACGCATGTTCTCGCAACAATATCGTCTAAATTTTGAAAATCTTTCACTGGAGAAATATCACAGGTTTATGATATCAATACATTTGAGGTACTTTCAGGTGGAGTCTTCAAAAGCCAGCTGTAATATATGAAAAAAGTTAGGAATTTTACTAGTTTGAACTTCCATTGACTAATACGATATAATATTATTTTAAATCTCTGAAAGAACAAATAAAATTGATATGAATAGAACTAATCAATACAGTTTATTGTATGATTTTCACTATAAAGGGTTTTACAAAAACCGCGACACGTGTTTTGCTATACAATAACTTCCTCAAGCGTATACTGAAAGTTACTTCTGAATTATAACCATTCTATACTCTAACAGAGTCTAACATATTACCTGAGGAGGTCAGATATGAAATCATTAACTATATGAATGAGTTTTTCGAAAGTACCGTAAATATACTCACCTATTTTTACAGATTCAATAATGGCGAATCATTCATTTCAGTTTGATCATTGAAGTTTGATCTTTCTTCTGGGAAATGTCCGATATTTTATATACGTCAAAATGGAAGAACGTTCAAAGCCCGCATTAAGGAACACAAAAATAGTTTCCAGAATGGAAGTAAATGGGTGGCATATGTGGAATTCATTTTTCCATTCTGAAAACTATTTTTGTGTTCCTTTATGCAGGCTTTACACGTTCTTTCTGTTTGACGTATATAAAACATCGAACATGACCCACATGATTATTTATATACTCCCGATTTTTCTGAAACTGAACTTTTATTCTTGTTATTCTTAATATGCATGCCTAAGTTGTTGTTGGTTTTGAAAGCAATATTTACACCTCTGATGTGCAGAAAATCTGAAATATTTGTAGTGGGTTGGCCTCAGTAGGTTAACGTTCTATCACTTTTATCCTCTTGTCTTCGAATTGGGTAAACTTTCTCCAAAGCTTGGCTATATAACTTTTTTGATAATGTAGAATGTATTAGACTGCTATCATAATCATTGTTGACGATTATTTGTTGATTATGTTCAGTTCTTTATTGAAATTTACTTCTGACAAGTGTACATTTTTCATTCTGTGGATCATACTGTTGATAGCTGCTACTTTGTGCTGATACGGGTATTAATATTTGTATGTGCCGGTTCACGATGAATTGAAAAATCATGTTTGTTGTTAACTTTTGTTACTGTCAAGTCCAATGAATTTATAGAGTCGTCTTTCTACATCTCCATTGTGAATGTGATAAGAGGGTGGGGAGAATTGATGAAATTCAAACACTTAGTCAACTCTCTGTTAGCTGTTCCTGTGAAACATACTAGGATATCATCCACATATATATACCAATACATGAAACTTCTCACCAGTGGGTAACGGTGTATTTTCCTCTCCAAATCATCCATGAAAATTGCTGCCAAAATAGGACTAAGTGGTTTTCCCATCATTAGACCTTTGCAGGATGAGTAAAAAATTTCATTGAATTGAAAGTCATTCTGTGACAAACAAACCGTAATTGTATTCATTGCTCAATATAACTGTTGGTTTTTGCTATTCATTTTGATCTTTAATTTTATTGTTTTTTTTTCAGAGATTCCAAATCATATTAAATCACATTAGATAATGGAGGTCCGAACTGGTGAAATTCATCATGAAACATAGTCAACCACTTTCAAACAATGAAAGTATTAATTGACCGTATGAATAAATATAGTTTAAAAAAACTAAAAAACACGCTTTTGAAGAACATCGAACTAAAAATATTTTTTTAATAAGCTTTGAACAATAACGATCGAAAAATACTAGTATTATTGTGAAAAAAGCGACAAACGCTTGATATACAGAAATTATGGCACAAAGCCCCTACGCTTTTGTCACAATAATACTTATTTACAAAAAAAAATATTTTTAACTTTTCAGTTCGATAATCTTTAAAAGCGTGTTTTTCAGTTTTTTTTTAAACTATATTCATTTTCAACTTTTCAGTTCGATATTCTTCAAAAGCATGTTTTTTAGTTTTTCAAACTATAGTTTTTATTTTGATTTTCTTTTGAACTACCTATCAAGAAGGTTACGTACAGCGCCATCTGCCCACGAATAGATGAAGCTATAATTTCGATAATTCTGTCAAATACAGATCCCGAGCTTGAGACATACATGTATGCTTACATACATAAATACATACAGGTGAAGCTAATATAAAGCGTTTAAAAAATATAATGATTTCTAAGAAAAACTCATTTTCCACACCGTAACAAATGTACTGTTTCTACACGCATGCTTCGCTAACCAAGTCAGCATCATTTCCTATTGATGATAACTTGGTAGCGAAAGTAGCATCGAGAGGTAGTAGTTTTGTTCCGGTGTGGGAAACGCGTTTCAATATATACTCATTTCATGCCAGAGCCGCCAAATTCTACTCATCAAAGAATAATTCATTTGGTGATTATCAAATTACTGAAATCATCATGGAATATCAGTGAAACTTCAATCTTATGAACCTGCATTCGAATTTTAAAATTTGGAGGTACCCCGAGACGGACGACATAGTTTATGAAAATTCTCTGATTATATGCTGATAGTTCAATAAAAGTTGTTATGGTAAAATTTGAACAGATTTCCGATATTCCTGCTAATGAAGAACATTTAGCAAACATTTTCTGCTCCTCCTGCTCATTTCCGAAACCAAACTTGAGTCGATTTTTCAGTACAGGTACAGATACGCAATTTATCCATAATTTCATCAACTCCTTACCACTTATTGCTTACGATATCTACATGAATGGACATAAATAATCTTGTATTGGGCGGAATGCTGCAATTGAGTTTCATACCAGAGAGTATGCATTGTAACCATGTAATGTCTCAACCCGGATTCTCTACGAGTGAATCTCTAGTACGATATAAGGCTATCTCTTAAATCACTTCACTTAAAGCGTATGTTGGAATTGCGTCATCAGTTGGCGAATTATCGGTTGGGTCTCTCCTTTGGGCTGAACTTACCAGTTCACTTACCAGTAGAGATAGAGTTCTTCCTTCAAAGGATGCTACCAGACTGCCTGCCTGATTCTGCACCAGTTGCTCAGGTGAATGATGGAACAACTCATCAAAGCCATGCTGTTTTTTTTTCCTTTGATTAGTATAATTTCACTATTTCATTAGTATATGGCAAGTATGTTATAAAAAGAAGAACAGTAAAATATGATATAGACCTGTGTTATACATAAAAAAGCTTTGATTTTCAGTAGACATTGTGCGTAATATATAATTGAGATTACCTCAGTATTTTATTAATTGATTAGCAAATCGAAGAAAATTATATTCAGCGTGCAAACTTTTCAAAATTCACATTCAAAATAAAACCCTATCATCTCAGGTCGTTTCGTCGACCTGAGATGATAGGGTAGAAATTAACTTTTGGAAGGATATGATATTTGAATTACCATTTCAAATCTTGGTCTTATAAATGATTTGAAATTGTTCATCAAATATTTCGCCACCGTACAAAGCTACTCTGTATTCTATAAACCATCAGTCAAGGAAGTTTGGCATCTGCGTATTTCAAATTATTTTTCAAAATGATTCGTGTATGTTAAATAGCCACTTGTGATATAAAACCTTCAGAAAAGATATTTGCATATTTATAAAATATGTATAAAATTTGTATTGTAATTTCTCTTCTCTTTACAGATTTCTTCACGAAATTGATAAAACGAGCTCTAGGAAAATCGTCAACATCTGAAGATGAGCCTAATGCTGAAGATGGAACCGACACTGAACAGCATGACTCATTGCCTTACGACACTATTTCATCGAGAAAAAGTTTGCATAGACCTCTCAAGCCTTCATTTTCCTGGGGAAAGACAGATTTTCAGACAGTTGCTACCAAGGCGATGCAATTGAACAAAAACAATCCAGATCCCAACGACAATAGAAATATTTCCGAACACAGTCAAATTGCGACTTGTGTCAGCAGACAGAATTCTGACTTAAGAAAAGACGTCCATAGGAGAAAATCAAATGTGACTAAAACAGAACCTTCATTTTCTGACAATACGAGACAGGACTCAGAATCATCTGTTTGGTCTGAGAACATTCCTGTGATAACTATTAGTAAAACTGAAAGTGCAGAAAACATCCTCAGTTCAAAAATCAGTGACTCGCAAAAAGTTGAGATTGACAAAGTCCCCCATCAACAACAATTCGCCCCGAAAATAAAATGTGCCCTCAAGAAACAAAGTACAGAAATTGATGAAGAAACAATCCGGTATTTCAATAAAAATATCGAAGAAAATAGAGCTGAAAATGAATTGATCAGGGCTTTAGCTCAAGATGAATCAGATGTGGAAAGTATTTCAACAAAGAAAAAGTTTTTGGACAATTTGGAAGAACCGTTAACTGATGTGTCGTCCTCTGAAGGTACTGAATATAGAGAAAGCAGTACTGACACTGTTCTACATACTTCAAAAACTGAAAAAATACACCAGAATTAACTGAACTTGATAATATATCAAAACCATTTCAATTTCAAAATAACTGTTGCTTTCGCCAATAATGAATGCTTTGTTATGCTTCCGAGATGGTTTCTGTAACTGAAAAGTAATAAAACGTGAACTGATATAATTTGCATTCTTTCACGCATAGTTCAATCTATGCTAGCTCACCCTTTTCAGTTTTCCCAGTCATCTCTTTTCTCTCCTGACCGTAGATGGATATTTGCTTCGATTCAGTGCACAATCAGTTTGACGTTCCAACGTTGACTCCCCTGTAAGTCAGAAACGGACGTGTAATCGAAAATTTCAAAGGACACGTCACTTTTCATTTCAAGGGGGACTGATTCTGATATGAAAATCATACCCGAAACTTCACCACCCTGCGGTCAGCAATCACTCCCCCTATTTTCCCGTATTTTTTTTCAGTGGCATAGGGGGTTAGGGGGTCGAGTGATACATCATTTGAAAGTTCTTGTATCCCTCTATTATTTTTTTAAAATTGGTTGATTCGTTATTGAGAAATTATGTGTTGAACGTTTAATTTAAGAAAAAACTGAAAATTTGCTGTCGCTCATTTTTATTGAGGAAATCAACAAAAATAATATCGATGGCAACACAATCAACGGATAAAATGTTCAAAATGACATCCACCTAGTTTCATACTAATATACCAATACAGTCAACTTTTGAAAGCGTTCCTTACAATAATGAAAGTGTCCGGAGTCAGAAATCGGCATTCATAACTAATTCTCTGTTGCAGGTTTTCTAAATTTAGTAGTAAATGTTTTAAAATGGACGACACGGTTAGTTTTTTCTGCACTGTTACTTTTTGTTTAATCTAGTTGTCTCAGAACAAAAAGTAGATAGTTGGCCACTGTCACTTCTTCACGAATTATTATTCAGTCATCCTTGTTCACTATGTTCCAACATGGTTTATTCTACTGAAGAAAGAATAGAAGTTGTTGCAACCTACCTATTATCGAAATAATGAATGTGCTGAAGCTGCTGTAAGAATTTATAGTATATTGTATATTATACAATACATGTTTTTCAGACAAAAGTTCTTTCATGTTGAATGGTTAAGTGAATAGACATAAATGTCATAACTGGAGCGATGTGATTCCTCATTTGGTGATGGAAACATATTCACAAACTACACAAAATTTGAATGTCTAGGCCGGCATTCTTGGTAATCATGGTAACCATTCTTCATTGAAGGTAATCTCAATGGAGATATATACTCAAATCTAGTACAAGACTGTGTAGATCCTATGATTACAGAAATTTCAGAAAATGATGACAATTTAGTAGAAAATGAAATAACATTCCAGCAGGATGGTGCACCCCCACATTTTAATGTTCGGGTGAGACAGTTTTGGACGAACATTTTCCATTGCGTTGGATCAGCAGAAGGGGTCCAGTGAAGTGGTCAGCTGGATCACCTGGTGGAATTCTTTCTGTGGGGACACCTGAAGGTGAAAGTGTATTCTACTGATCCTACAAATCTTGAAGACCTGCGACAGAGAATTGTTCGGGAATACCGACTGCTGACTGCAATAATAAGATTTATGTTAACGTATGGAGCCATTGCATGGGTACCAAAAGTTCTACAAGCAACGGCCATCCAAAAATTATACCAAATACAGCGAATGGCTTGTTTAAACATTACTGGAGCCATGAGAACAACACCAACCGCGGCAATGGAATCAATCACGGGCCTGACCCTTCTTGATCTGTACGTTAAGGAGGTAGCCTTGATGGCCATGGTACGATTGCGCACGGCTGGTGTGAACCTCAAAATAGGAATGGGTCAATTGAGGCTGGGCCTGTGGCGAGAAGCGCTTACTGCGCAATCTCTGCTGCAGGCAACAAGCGATGCAATTGAACCCAAGTTTGTGTTTAATAAACCCTACAAAATATAAATAAAGCAGAACATAGAGTCAGAAGAAACAAATGCAATACGGATTTACATAGACGGCTCAAAAACCAAAGAAGGCTCAGGGTGTGGAGTGTACTCCAGATCACTAAGCCTAAGAATTGAGTGGGGAATGGGAAGAAATACCAGCGTGGTCCTTAGAACTGGCTGGTATCTCAATCGCCTCAAAAGAATTAATCAAGAAAGACATTTCTGGAAAAAACATAACAATCTGCACTGACACCAGACAAGTCCTATCAGCCTTGAACAGACAACGTATAACCTCAGGGCTAGTACTAGAGTGTCACCAAGATTTAGCCAAAGCCTCGGTAGATAATAACATTATCCTGAGGTGGGTTAAAGGGCACGACAGAAGTAAAGGTAATTGCATTGCCGACTTTTTAGCCAAGAAAGCGGCTGGACTGAGAATTTTAGGACCCAGTGGCACCTACGGCCTGATGACTTCGACAATTGCGGAACCAACCAAACATCACACCCATGCTCAATCCCTAAAGAGATGGGATG